AGTAGCTGTCAAATACTGCCATTTTTTGACGTCACGTGACCGGCCCGGACCAGGGCTTCCTCGTGTCTCGCCTCGTTTTCACACTGAAGCCCTGGGAACGAGGTTGGGTCTGAGTAGACAACAAAATCTATAGCCTGCGAACAGGCTCTCAAGCTGAATTTTTTCCAGAAAGGCCCATCTGCATTTGTACTTGCTCATAATATCCCCGGGAATTATCTTGTTTTAAACAAAGATTCCCATTTGAATCAAAAGCATATTGGTATGACTTCTCTGATTGTTTTTCTTGGACAGCTTCAGCAACATGCTGATTTCGTTGACTGGATAGACCCTTTATTTCAAGCAGGCGATCTAATCCAGGGATATACCCATCTGGTGAAGCAACAAGAATACCATCAACAAAACAACCACACTCTTCAACCTTTTCCCCAGTTAGACTTGAGTACCTTTGGCGGGCTTTTGCTTCATTTTGGATACCATAGAGCATAGCAGGGGGGATGTTTTCTTTATTTTATGCAATAGCTTTCTGGCAATGGAGGAAGGTACTCGATACTGGCGATACTGTTGCCAGAGTGGATTATCCCTTTGACCCCTGGTTATCCTTTCAATGTGGAACTTGACTGAATGGTTTTCAGTTTCCAACCGACTTTCTCTACTAACAGTTGGACTTTGTTCTACATGTAACTGTCCAGCATCATCATTGTTATCATTTTGACTGTGATTTTGGTCATGGTTGGAAGAATATCTGTCATGTAACACTTGCCAAATAGAGGACTTATTGCTTGTAGAACTTACACATTGGAGAAGTCGAAGCAACCTCGTTCCCAGGCTATTTGCTCTTGGGAAGCAAAGACCCTGGTCGGAGCTGGTCACGTGACCCATTGAAAATTGATAGCCCAAGAGGGGGGTAGAAAAGTCTCATATTACCTGTTTCCACTTCCGCACTTCGATTGCAAGGAGTGGCCGTTCTGTACAATCATTAATTCATCTTCAAGAATCATATATACCTCAAACTACTTGCTAAATTGGTTGCAGATACTTATGGCAACAGAAAATTCAGGAAATCAAGCAACGAGAACATATGACTGTACGCTGTGAAATATTTTTATTTTCTCGGGGTTCGCCGGTTCGGGCGTAGTTTTATTTCACGCATACGTTTCTGTTGTGGCTCTGATATTTATAATATGCTTATAATATGCCAATGAATTGTTCTGATATGGACATGATATAAATTTTGTTAAACAGATGTCTCGAAAGCGACTGTTTATAGGTCGTAGGATTAGCGCCTTGCCGGTCTTAAACGTGACACATTTGGACACAAGCCAAATACACATTGTGAATGTCCATTCTATTGACTCTAAAACTGTTTATAGACATATTGCTCTAGATTTTTTTTTAAATGGCTATCATCGTTTATATTAAACACCAGGAAGACAAAATATAACGTACAAAATTGTTTGAAATCGACAGTGCACAGCTGACATACGACAATTCATAACTGCAAGAATTTCCTTTTTTGTCTGCACGAGTACCTGTTTGTTGAAGCCAAAATATTGCACAGCATCTCCTATAAATTCTATCGCCATTTACCCTCTCCCCTTAAATGCAAAGGAATGACAGCCGAAAAGGTTTAGCAAAGTATTTTTTATTATATCTGGTATAAAGTGTCCTACGTTTTATCAGGGACACATAATTCATAAACTGTATATGCACACGAAGTCTCGCTTATATTAATGAGTTTTACTGTAGCAAACCTTTTACAGTTTCCATTGATAGATAGGTTGTTTGCCTCCAGTATTGTTTGGTAAAACAGACTATTAAAACTTCTAAAATGTCGATTCCAGTATACGATAAAGATTAAAGTTGATTTAAATATTGATAACTCACAGCGGAATTAATCCATTATACAAGTCTAAAGAAGCTGGATTATTCTTCAATAAAGCCCTCAATGGACAATGCCAATGTCAATGAAAGGTCTAATATTATACATGTTGCAAATTACTGTATATACAAAATATGAAATAATTTATATAAAGTACAATACCAGTGTCTGGTGCATATATCGTCCTAGATATTCCAGTTGTACCGCACGCACGGAAACGCATGTACGGAGTCTTGGCGTTTGTGTGATAACAGATAGCTAGCCTACACTTCGACATTATCTTTCTTGATCGTTGAGTTTCAGCAATGTAAATGAAATGAATTTTATAGCCAGTCCATAACGGGTTTTAATCCTGTGCTTTTACAGTCAGAATAGCAATATTGTTTACACATGTTGGCGATGCTTGGGAAATCAAAGACAAAGGATCCCGTTATAAAATAAATCTTTTGTTTTGAATATCGGACAGGATACACTTCAACTATAAAGAACCATATCGTTCGTTTAATACCGTTTGATCGATCAGTCTGTGTAGAAGATATGTATGTTTCTACGGCGATACCAACCTCGTACCCAGGCTCTGGCGATACGTGCTAAACTTCGCAGGCCAGGCGCGTGTGGAGTGTTTTCCTTGCAAGTGAAATATGATCCAGCTTCTCGCTTGAAATGTAACGCAACACTTATTATTGATGACATTCAGTATAGCAGGAAGTCTTGTCATGATCGGTACGAATTTAGAACAGTTCCTTTCATAATCTCTTGTTGCAAATTACATTTTTATCACCCGAAATTATAACACATAAAGTTGCAATTTTCCAAACGCAACAAACAGACTACTCTCCTACCCCTCCCTGAGATCAAATTCAATTTACCCCCAAAATCTGGGGGTTCACGTGACCAGCTCCGACCAGGGTCTTTGCTTCCCAAGAGCAAATAGCCTGGGAACGAGGTTGAAGTCGAAGCTCCCTTTGTGTATCATCAGAACCAGATATATTAGATATTGTAGTTTGTTGGAAAAGACACCCCCCCCCCCTGGTTTTTTTCATTCTATATTATGGGTACTCAAGGAATCTATATATAACAAAAACTTGATACCACGAGCTGTTTTGCGAAATTGAGAGCAATTTCAAATCTGTTCAGTTTTTTATACACCCTGTATACACAAGTATTAATTAAACTAAGAAACCAAAACTAATCTACTAGTCTGTAGTGTACACACGTAAAAACGCACAAGTTGTTACAAGTCTACAAACAAGTTGTTACAAATATGTTCACAAGCTGTCAACAAGTTGTCGCACTGCTTGTTCCCAGTTGTTGTAACAAGTTTGGATCAAGCTGTTAACAACTTGTAACAAGCTTGATGGCATTATCAGACTTGTCACAAGGTTGTTCTGACAAGTCTGATACAGTCATGATAAACAAGAATGTTACAAGGTTGACGACACAAGGTTGTAACAATACTGCCATATCATGACTGTATCGGACTTATTGGGACAACCTTGTAACAGGCCTGATAATATCAACAAGGTTGTTATACAAATTGTTAAAAGCTTGTTCCAAAATTGTTGACAATTTGGGACAAGCAGTGCGAAGAAAACTTGTTGACGGCTTGTTGACAAACTTGTTGCAAGATGTAAGATTTTTGCGTGTGTAGTGAAATCGGGTGGATAAAGCACGTTGAATCGGGTGGATGTGTACTGCTCACAACAACTGGGCACGACCACAATGCAACGCGCTAGAACAATTTACTGCACAGACGCCTCTCTGCACAAATTAGACTGCTGCTTCGCTCGCTCGCTTCAGGCTCGCTCGCTCCGCAACAATAAAGCCTTCATCGACAACGGTAGCTGATTTTTTTATTCCGTCTCAAAAACAAAACAAAAGTTATTCTTATTAGTTGTTACATGTGTTGGAGACTGTTAATACTTATTGTTATTGTTATTTTATATTGTATAGACACGGAATTTTCCAGAACATTCTATAAATATTCAATATAAATATAATATCTCAGTCAAACAATGACAACAGTCAACAGGGGCCCCTACACCAAATATGCCTAAGGGCCCTCACTTCCTCCGTTACGCCACTGGCCAAAATAGATCACCCCATTAATTGTCCGTAAACAGTTACAGTGTCTGTGACTGTTGTTTGACGGTTCACTATTAAATATTTGCGAGATGTCCTTTTTCACTGCTGTTTTAAAATTGTTACAATACGCCTACTACTATACAATAGTGCTAATTAGTTTTCATGAATATTAATCAGTTTCTCATTTTCATTTCTTCGGTCCATGAAAAGTTACATCTTTCAAAGGACCTAACAGAATATCGATATCTCAAGAAATGTCTACTGAATACTGTACCAACTGTTATTCCATCTGACCGCCGCGTTGCATATAGCATAGGCAGCCCACTAAACGATTGAATTTAAATTAAAACTGCAGTGGAATTATAAAATTAACGAAAATAATCACAAATTAGCGAAATATATTGCTTAGTATACCGTATTTACTCGTTTGAGCGCCGCGGTGCTCTTTAAATTTTCAGAGCTTCAGATGCGGCGCTCATTCGGGGGCGGCGTTCAATCGGGGGCGGCGTTCAATCGGGGGCGGCGCTCAATCGAGTAAATACGGTAGCTTATATTAAATCGCCACCTGATTGCACTATCGGCCAACTGACGTATAGTTATATAAAGTATACCTAAGGTTGGCAAGGTGTTTGAACTATTTGAACTACACACAAGAAATATATCCGTAATATTTTAAAAAGCAGAAAGAAACTAGCCCTAAAACCAACATAAACATAAACAAGGATAATTTTACTAACCTGTCTGTAACTTTTGTTTGTTAAGGTACAGTACGAAAAAGGTACGAAAGTTTACGGTGTTTTGTCGATTTTTTTCTCTGTGACTATGCGGGATGCTCGTATCCTGTTACTGGAAACATTTTTCAAAATAAAACTCAGCTGTTCATTGGCTTACAGCAAGTTTCGTCGCAAGCGATTTCGGTTTCGTGTTTTCGTCGCTTGCGACGAAACTTGCTATAGCCAATGAACAGCTGAGTTTTATTTTGAAAAATGTTTCCAGTAACAGGATGCGAGCATCGGCATGCGCTAAAACCTGGACGATGGACGATGGACGATGCATGGACGTCCATCGTCCAGGTTTTATTGGACGATGGACGTCCATCGTCCAGGTTTTATTGGACGATGGACGTCCATCGTCCAGATTTTATTGGACGATGGACGATTTTTATTTAGCTACAGCCGTTTCAACAAATTCCGTCTCCAAATTCAGTCTCTGGCTATCACTTCGTCACTATACTATCAATTTGACACACCTTAATCACCTTAATACTTACTTACTTAGTGAAATTGCGGTGCCCAAGTTTGGCACTGCATTATATCCTGCATGTGAGTTTGTCCGTTTGTTAGTGTGTTCGCATCAATACGTTTCCTTAATCGCCCTAGTAAAAATTCCTTGCACGTGCTCGAAATTTATTCATGCATTTTTGCGGGAAAATTAATCTTGGACTCTCAGGACCGACTGTTTGCTGGGCTTTATCTCTGGTTTTATGCGCCAAACATAGACAAAAATACCACTGTTCGAAGCAGCGTAAAACGTTGTATTTATGCATGGGAAATTGATTTCAAAATTGATTAATTTTCTATTCCAGCGATTCATGGGTTTTGAAAGACAAGCCGCTCAAAATAAAATACCACCATTCGATTCAGCGTAAGAAATTGTACTTACGGATGTCAAATGTATTACGAAACAACAGTATTCTAGCGATTTATGGCCTTTGAAAGTCAAGCGAAACTGTTTGTTGACAAATCGCTCAAAATTATTAAACTAATTAAAAATGCAGTAAGTTTGATATAACTTTGGTATCGTTGGTTTTCTCTTTTCGGCCGTATACCAGTATATTCATCTCACTTTTCTCTTCATTTTGATAGTATTTCATGTGCTAAACCTGGACGATGTACGTCTATCGTCCATCGTCCAATAAAACCTGGACGATGGACGTCCATGCATCATCCATCGTCCATGGACGTCCATCGTCCAGGTTTTAGCACATGCCGCGAGCATCCCGCATAGTCACAGAGAGAAAAATCGACAAAACACCGTTAGTAAAATTATCCTTGTTTATGGTTATGTTGGTTTTAGAGCTAGTTTCTTTCTGCTTTTTAAAATATTACGGATATATTTCTTGTGTGTAGTTCAAATAGTTCAAACACCTTGCCAACCTTAGGTATACTTTATATAACTATACGTCAGTTGGGCCGATAGTGCAATCAGGTGACGATTTAATATAAGCTACACTAAGCAATACATTTCGCTAATTTGTGATTATTTTCGTTAATTTTATCATTTCACTGCAGTTTTAATTTAAATTCAGTCGTTTAATGGGCTGCCTATATGCAAATAGTAGGGAGCTTTAGGGACCGGTCATTAATAATGGGAGGGGGGTGGGGGCGTTGGGTGATAAATACCAAATATTGAACATTTTTGAAGCCGCCCCGATCGCGAGACCTTTATTTTCAAGACACCCCACCTTCATCTAGAAAATTTAGGACTCCCCCAGGACTCCCCCAGGACAACATTTAATTCCTTACATTTTTTGGTGTAAAATATCAGGCCTTAAAATATCATTTACAGGGCCGTCTGACAAAATGTCCGATGACGTTGAGTTTGGGTCGGACATATGTCCGATGATCTTCAGTTCAGTTTTGACTCGGAAATAAGTCTGAATGACACAAATGAATATCAGCACAATGTATTAATTCTGAACGGTAAATGTTGTGAAGATATTAAATATTTTTTTTCTTTCATACTTATTTCCAAGCCAAAATTAACTTGCTTGCCAGAACAGCAGTTTTAAAAAGACTTTGACAACTTAAGCTCGTTTTCCACTTCACCATTTCGCTCGCAGCCCCGCGCTCGACTACGTTAAAACAATATCTCCAGATCACATTCTATACAATGGTACTCTGATTTCCCATTTAATATACACGCCTCTAGTCCTGGTCTAGGATACATTTTGATTTACGATGGACAAAGCTACATTTCGGTCGGACACCAATTCACTCGGGTCGGACAAACAATAAACCTCAGTTTCACGTAGGTCGGACAGAATGTCCGGTGGTTTCTTCTCTACGTCGGACAATTTCACGAATGGGTCGGACAATGTCCGTGACCGACCGATATTTTAAGGCCTGATTTAGGGTACCCTGTTCACAGCATTAGATAACTCACATGCCTAGCTAGTTACTATCAGTGGTGGACGGACAGTTTTTATTATTTTTTTTTTTTTTTGGGGGGGGGGGCTAATTTATCCAACATATAAGAATTTTTCCCGGAAATGTTGGCAACGTTTGAGGGGGCTATACCCCCCCCCTAGCCACCGCTGTTCCGCCACCTATGGTTACTATTGTTCTAGTTTACATAAAACAAAGGTTTAAATTCAAATTCCCAACCCTTCTCAAATTCCCCACCATAACGGAGATTTAGAACATCAAATTCTCCCACTCCCTGGAAACATTTTCGAGTCAAATTTTGGAATATGTCCCCAGGATGACGATGTTTTAAGTTCATTGATATGTAATTCTAATGTTTAGTTTCCTTTGTTCTATTCTATGCTTCTATAAACTAGAACAATAGTACTGCACATGAAAAAAATAGGGAAAAGGAAAGGAAGGAGGGAAAGGGAAAGAAGGAGGGAAAGTGAAAAAAGGAGGGAAAGCGAAAGAAGGAGGGAAAGGTAAAGGAGGGAAAGGTAAAGGAGGGAAAGAAGGAGGGAAAGAAGGAGGGAAGGAAGGAAGGAAAGAAGGAGGGAAAGAAGGAGGGAAAGAAGGAGGGAAAGAAGGAGGGAAAGAAGGAGGGAAAGAAGGAGGGAAAGAAGGAGGGAAAGAAGGAGAGAAAGTGAAAGAAGGAAGGAAAAGGAAAAGAGGGAAAGGGAAAGGAGGGAAAGGGAAAGAAGGAGGGAAAGAAGGAGGGAAAGAAGGAGGGAAAGAAGGAAGGAAAGGGAAAGGAGAGAAAGAGGGAGGGAAAGTGAAGGAAGGGGGGAAAGAAGGAGGGGAAAGAGAAAGAAGGAGGGAGGGGAAAGGAAATAAAAGAGGGAAGGAGGGAATAGAGAGAAAATGAAAGGACAGTTAGGAGTCCGGACCGCTTCAGGATTGGGGAAGAAAGTATCCCTTCCAAAATTTTTTTTTTTTTTTTGGGGGGGGGGGAGAAAGTAACCCGGCCCTCTGGTAGTTATACACCCCTGACTATTTTCAATCAGTAAGTGGTAGGCACGCAGAATAGAAATTTATTTGCCTATTTATAAAATAGACTAAACGAATTATTTGCTGTTTATAAAATAGACTAAACGAATGCTTTGACTATTTATTAAGCAGCAATAGTTTAGCTGTTTACTGCATGATTACAGCTATACCCTATTGCCACCCTCCTATTAGCCTGAGTAAACAGCCGCCTATTATTGCTCGTTCCTCCCAAGAGAACGAGCAATAATAAGCGGCTTTTTACTCAGGCTACCCTCATATATGACATGCATATGATAAACAACTTCATTCAAAATCCATCAGGAAATTGCACCCAACTCGACGTACCCTGCCCTGAACAGCTTCATTAATACATTTTTGGAGATCCTTGGTGGCAGCGATAAAACCATTCGAATAATTGACCTGGGAGCTGGTACTGGCTATATTGCTATCGAGCTAAAGAAACATGGCTTCATCAATATCGATGGCCTGGATTTGTCTTCGGAAATGTTAAAGAAAGCCAAGGAAAAAGACGCATATCGAAATTATATCTGTGAAGCTATAACAGAGAAACGGCTAGATATACCTACCGGAGCTTATGATGTTGTCTTGAGTGCTGGAGCTGTGACGTCTGGTTATATAAAAGCAAGTGCATTTGATGAAATTTTGCGTTTAGCAAAGCCAGGTTAGTTTAAAATCGTGGGCAAGGGCGTTGCTCTGAAACAAGCCACAATACGTGGGAGCTTAATCGGTGTACATGTTTCATTAAGTGCATAGGACAGTGAAGCAAATGCATGGTGGTCAACTCTAAAAGGAAACACAGAGACGTGTGAAACGTGACTAAATTATTCACTTTATGCACTGACTGGCTGTAGTGAATTCTGTATTGAAATGAAAATATTTAGCATTTTCCATCTCCCCGCCGGCCATAAGTCTCGATGGTGTAACTTTACTTTTTTGACCACTTGAGTTGCCCTCTGGGCAAGTTGGACATGAAAATTGGTTGCCTTGAAAAAAATTCATTTGCCATCGGACAATGGCCACTGGGGTACCTACAATCGTGGACATAACTTGTTAATAAAATTTACCTCTGTGAGAGTTTAAATTGTAGTTTAATTCCTGTATTTTGTCTAAAACATCCCCCCCCCTTCCCACAACACAATGTTGTTGAACAACGTTTAAAATGAGAGGAAAATCATGGCAACATTGGGTGTGTGGGGGGGGGGGACCTGTATGAAGTTATTTGATTGTATTTTCCTAAAATGTCAATCGATTTTATTAACACTTTTGTCCATGATTGTCTCCAATAAATTGCAGTTTTCCCAGTTAAAATGCAATCAACTGTCGAGGGCTTTACGGTTCACAATGTATATTCCTTTCAGCCGAGATTTGTAAGCTTCAAAACGAGACAAAAACATTTTTTCGACTATATGTGCTTTATAAACAAAAAAACGCTGATCAACACTATATGTTAGTTTAACCAGATAGATTTGCAAGTGCTTTTGATGCAACCAACATGCATGTGCAGTACATAAACTTAGAGTTTGGAGAAGGCTTAGTGAAAAAATGCATTAGACAAATTAATTGTACATCTTCTGCTCTTGCTAACTGTATAGTTCGTATTAAATCACTTTATATCGTAGTTTGGGGCGAATATCTACCTCTGGTTTCACGTCACGCTGAAACGGTTAACCATGCATGGTTAACCGTGACGGTTAACCACCGACAATAATGAGAGATGTTATGTTTGCTGGCATACTTGTGTAGACATTGTTGCATTTTTTACATTTCCAGAAAATGCAGGATTGTATCAGAGAAGATCAAGTTATCACAACTGCGAATTGTGCAGAAATACGATGTTCAGCTATACGGTTAACCTCTTGTTTTAAAAGCTATTAAAGACATCAAATATTTTATGGAGATAGCGTAGCCAGGTCTAGACATAATTAAAAACATAAACGTTCTCTGACTAAAATTTTATTTAAAACGAGCTTTCGACTACCTAACTGTAGTCTTCGACGGGTAAAGCGGAATCTTCCTTCTGCGGAATGATTCCGCTTTACCCGTCAAAGACTACAGTTAGGTAGTCGAAAGCTCGTTTTAAATAAAATTTTAGTCAGAGAACGTTTATGTTTTTAATTATCAAATATTTTATCAATTTTATGGTGAACCGTGCTTAAAAACCCAAATAAGCAAATGGTAACCATAATTACGATATAAACATTTAAAAGAAAGTTCATTCATGTCTAATGAATAGGAAAACTACAAAATTTATCATCCCATAACGTTGCTTGCAATAATTTCTAACATTTATGGCCATGGTTAACCATCTGGTTAAGCGTTGCATTGTTAATTACTGAGGTGCGACACCCTAGAGAGCTGGACTGCACAGGTATATAACAATACAAACGTTGCGCTTATCACGTGCCGAACCTAATGTAAATGACCTATGGCTATAAACTCATTATTTGAGCTCTTTTGTATTACTATATTAGGTTAATAGTTGGACATTTGAACTACTAGTTCTTACCACTGTATTAGAGTGACAATGAAAATGAAATATTGTTCATCTGAATTATCTGTGCTCACCTTCCTGTAATTTTATTTTAGGCGGTTATATTATTTTTACTATACGCAAATCCGCCATGGAGCAAGATCAGTTTGGATTTTCTACAAAATTCCAGCAATTTATAAACGAAGGGAAGTGGCAAGAATTGAAGAAATTTCTTACAGATTATGTAGTTGGATATCATTCCGATGATGAAAACAAAGATCTGACTAAATGCTACGTAATAGTTTACAAAGTATTAAAGAATGAATAAATGTATTTCTTGAGTAGTTTTTGTGTACACTTATCTTTTTAATTCTGCCGACTTGGGAAGTTCACATATTTATTAAGTTATTTGACTATACTAAGAACTGGATTAAATTGATCAAAGTGCGTATATATATAATCGTATAGACAGCATCGTGAGATAAAAAGTAAACGTATTTGAGCTTGTGAACAAATTTCAAGTTTTCTTACGTTTTTTTATATATATTTCACCAAATGAATGTGGATATTACTTATTTAGCTGGACATTGGAACAATAGGGCCATTTAATTTATACGGGAGAAAATAAGTCGCGACTTGATTAAGTGGAGTCTATTTTTAAATCACGAACACTACTCAGGGCTTCTTGCTTCCGCGGTTGGTCGGATGGCCATCCAACCGCAGAAGCAAAAAGCCCTGTATATACGAGGTTGGTATAAATGTCGGAGACTTTACCTCAGTCTATAGTTAAAATAGTAATAGAACACGTGAACTCCACGCGCGATAGCGTGATATATAGTTTTCCTTTAAAACAGGAATTTTTGTTATTGTTGTGAGACTTTGACTGCGAAACCATTGTAAAAATGTGATACGAGAATGAGTGATTTGAGATATTATATATCAAAAATACAACTAGTGATTTGTTGGTGATACTTCAAGCGAAATTTCCAACGTAAACGGTCAATTTGTTCGTGACCAATGCAATGTAAGTCGCAACTAAAGTAAGAACAGGGGTTCATGCTGGTCCAAAATAAGTCACGGTACCAACTTGTGGTCAATGATACCGTAAGTGAAATTAATCTGGGGGCTTCAGCACCCGTCACAGTTTTCACAGGGGGCTAAGCAGCTCTAAAGATAGATTAAGTAGTATTATGTCTTCTTTAAGGTGGTCTTCCACCCAAAATTGCCAATATTTGTCATTTTTATAGCGTTTAGTCTTTATAGCGGTCTTTGTAAAATACGTATTATTTTAAGCATTTTTACCTTCTTAGGTAAAATCATAATGTTGACAACGCACTGTATCATGTTTTCCTGATGATGGCACTTATTATCATCGTAATAATATACATAAAGATATTACTCGACTGTGATTGGTTGATTTCAGTGCAGTTTAATAATCCCAAACAGCAGTGCAATTTTCTGTAATCACAGTGCAATTTTTTGTAATCACAGTGCAATTTTCTGTAATCACAGCTAGTGAACAAGGGTAAATAATGTTAGCCAATCAGCGCGTTTGTTTACATTTTGCGTCCTTGACCAATCAGAATGCCTGAAATTCGAAACATACAGTACCGCTCGCGTGTGTCTTAACACTTTTTTGCGTATGATACGCGTAGCATACGCGTATCATAAGCGTATGGTACGCGTAGCATACCCGTATTATAAGCGTATGCTACGCGTAAGCTATCCAAGTGATACGCGTATGAAGTGCGTAGGATACGCGTATCTTAAGACTACGTTACGCGTATCTCTCAGTGATTATGATACGCGTATCGTAAGATTACGATACGCGTGTCTCATAATTACGACGCGCATATCTTAAGATTACCATACGCGTGTGTTATGATTACGATACGCGTGCGATTAATGTGGATATACACGACCATTATAATGCGTATAGTGGGCAGACACAGTATATGTGATAAATCTTATACGCATGAAACTGAAACGCAAAATGCGTCGTTTTATAGATTTGAATAATAATAAAAGTATCTAACACGATATTCATTGGAATCAAAATACGTAAATATATAATAATACGTAATACGTAAATATATAATAAAGATCATACTGCAATTATACGAAAACATGCATGTAAAAAGCACTAATCAATCACTGAAAAGCTCTGCTTTAACGGCTTAAAGTTTACAGTCTTTGCACTATTTTTGAAAGTTGTGTTAAAATGTTTAGTAGGGCCTATACATAGCAATCAGTCATTTAATAACCTTATAAGTTATAATCATAGAAATTGTTTAGATTAGTCATGTCGGTTTTCAAGAAGGCACTGGGCATTGTAAAATACTTCATTTTTCAAATTATACATGCATGCATGCATGTTAATTAAATTTCTCTCATCAAACGATTAACTTTAAACCAGTTAGCTTTTTGCACTACTTTATAGGGCATAGTTTTTTTAGAGGAGGGGAGGCAATATGACAGCATTTTATGGCTGTGTCATCTATAACTGATATAAAAACAAAGTACGTACCAAATCGACGTTTAAATGGTACTGATAAATTATTTGATAACTGCAACGATTTAAACTCCTTTTATACCACATTAATACTATAATGTTCAATGTATGCTATGCGTGTGAGCTCATTGATTACGCATACGCGTATATCTGTTGGGCATG